TTTCGTTTGATCATGTAAGTTTGGAAGAATTGTAATCAATTGGAAGAATTATAACCAATGAGTATGTAACCTAGGTACCTGATGTAACCTACGTACCGGATATAACTTATACCTGATACCTTTATTTACACCCGGCGTGTTTTTCAACCACTAAAACAATTTTAAATTCATACTTAGGAGAGAACATTGACTTCCTCGGGTTTGGATTTTTTACAAGGTGTTTATATAATGAAGCCGGTATACCCAGATCTTGATTTTTCGGCTTTCATTTTTTTTCTTATAACCCGAGGAGTGGGGTAGAGAGCAGTTGTTCGAAAATTATAAAGACAAATATTAATGACAATATAATAACGGACCGAAAGCATAATTGCTATACCTATATATTTTAAATTTGTAATATTTGAATACTAAACACTACAATATTTAATTGCAATATTGCTTTATCTGGAGCCTTTGGCTTCATATGAAGCGAATTGAGGAAATAAATCGAAAATAAACTCCGATTTGTTATGTAAAACCGCGTTGGGTAGTATTTTATTTCGTGTGCAACCGAACTGGGATTCCGAAAAAGGTTCTTATCATTTTTCGAACAAGTGTCAGTCACAAAACCGAGTGCATGCGTGTTTTGTATTGACTGAATGCATCAACGATAAACGCACAATTATAAAAATAGTTTCAGACTTTATTATTATTTTGATGCAATTTAATAATATTATTATAATAGTGATGAACGTTACTCGACGTTCACCTCAAAACGCGCGTGTATTTCCCACCGGTCACCGTGCGGGAAACGTAGCATTTATCTATTTATTTTCCTTATTTTTTTTTTTTTACACGACGCGCACGATTTTATAGGTTCTTTGTTTAAAAAAAAGCATTATACATTTAGTTGTCTCTTTAACAAAAAAAAAAAAAAAAAAAAATACACGAAAGATTAGAAATTATGGCCGCGGCGGTGTGTGTACCTGATGGCGAGTATCGTCTCTATGTATCGTCCACTGCCGCAGCTGCACTACAGTCTCGTCTTAATTACGTCGTCGGTTCAGGGTACACACGCGAGCACACGGATTTCACTCGAGGCACGTTGTCAAGTTGGTAAATCTTGTCGTTTTTTTTTTATATATATATTATCGTTCCAATTGGCGGTGGCGGATTACCATAAATGTATAATATTTTATCGTGTCATAGGTAAGCGTAATACCATTCGTATAATAATAATAATTGGAAGTAGAAACGTATGTAGAGCAGTCCACGTGACTGAAATATTATAATAACAAAGTCTTGACGATGATATAATTTGTGTCACGTTACGCCTATGTCTTTCTTCTTGCGCACTTGGATCAGAGGCATCATTTCAGTTTTTCATTAAGGTTGCGAACATTTTAATCCGGCAAATTTTTCCTTCCGCCAGGCCATTTGCATATCCAGTTTATTTCACGGAATTGACAAAATCGTCCTCGCTCGCTCATATTCGTATTTCCACTTTACGTTTTTGTATTGAACAACTATATCAACTGTCGAAATTACATTAATAACATCGATACTAAACTATGGCTATAGTTTTTATTTCTTGAAATAACTCATTGTACCACGGTTATTAATTCCACGTTACGTCGTTTTCTATGTGTACCGTTATCTTGCCTACATGTCTGTTTATTTAGCCGGGGTAACAATTAACCGCGGTAGTATTTGTCGCTGTGTCACTCTCACATCTCGCGGCAGACGTGCGGACCCCCGGTAGAGGTTCGATTACCTTCTGCATTTTACATTTAATCGACGGCAGTGCATTTGTACGCACTTTATGAGGTCCAAAAACACGTTTGAATAAATAGGGCTGTCAAAATGTAATAGCGTCAGAATCCCTCAAATCATACGCCTGCACTCGCGACCATTTCGTTTGTTACGGTGTGTATATTTTGTTCACAACGAAAACAATTTCGTAGGAAAAAATCTTTAAAAAATGGGGGGAAACGTAAACGAAGCGACGCGGCGCCGGCTGTGGCGTGAAAACGATGATATTTTTTTTTTTTGTACGCCCGTTTAATCGCCGCGTGTTGGCCGCCGTTGAAGACTTATTATGCCGGGTTCGCGTGGTATAATATAATATAATATTATAATTTCCGTGCCAGATTCCGAAAACTGATAAACTCGATTGTTTATGACACGAATCGGCTACCGAAATGACCGGATAGCGGAATGAAAAATACGACGACGACGCTCCTCCGTCCACCGTCCGGCGGCGGCCCGTCCAGCTATTATATTATACACTCGTATAAATAATTTTATCTCGTAAAAATATCGTTTTCAATTTGGACAGTGTGCCGCGCGGAACAGGTTTTTTTTCGGACTGTTGTACGGTCCGGCCGGGAATTCCTCGTCGCACCGTCTTTTTTTAACGTATTCTATTTTCCCCCGGCGCGGTAACCGCGGTTAGATATTGTGTGGTAAATTTTTTCAACGTGCAACGCGACGCTCGCCAAATCTCCAGCACGATCTATCCCGGCAGACGGATTTATCGCAAAGCTCTTGGGTGTCAGTTGTTTTTTTTTTTCATTCTATTCTAAAACATCGAGTTCTAATAAAGTCGCGTTTGTATTTACGTATATATTTTATATAAGTTATCGTATAGTTTTGGCCATTGTTCCTGCCCGGGCCCGCACCGTGGCAATCGTAAACATTTTATGACGCGCCTTTTTTTTTTTTTTTTTATTCGCTTTTTTCTTTATACAGTCGTTTTTCTATCGGAGTTTTTCGTATCGGGTCGTTGAACGCCATCGCCGCTGCAGTCGTACGGGCTAGTTCGCGAAGAAGAGTCGACTTCTGCAGGCTATAGGTACGTTTATTACGAGCCGGTCACCAACCAGGACAACGAGGCGCGATTGATGTTCATTGCTGTTTTTACCGTCATGCGAACTTCGAGTGTATAGGTTCATTTCGTGATGTATACAGGATGAAACATTTATCACGGATCAACGGTTTTCTTCCAAGCGAATTCGATTTCCGGTTTACCGAATCGTTATAATATGGAATCGTTTTGGCTTTATTTTAACGCTATTTTCATTTGTAACGCCTATTTCTCGTGTTTCAAACGAGTATAATATACTGAAATATAAAATCAAAAGTGCATATTAAACACGTTATTATTTTCAAATCAGAATCCGCTCTCCTATAAAATACGTATTCAAATTGGGAATATTTTTCTAAAAAAATATTGATATGCATAACACTGTAATATCGGTTTTATATCAGTATAACAGTTAAACTTTTAGACCAAAGAAATTGGGAAGGATAATAAAAATTTCATATTCGTTTTTAGATGATGAATAAATAACCTCTTCTTATTTATAGTATAAGTGGCAGGGTGGAAAATTGAAAGTATTGATGAGATATCAAGCTTAAACATTTCCGTAATGAATGAAAAAAAAAAAAATCAAACTCACACAATCCTCCGAGAAAATCTCTGGTTCACGATAAGTGAATCATCCTGTATATCTTGTAGAATATATGCCGTTTAATGCGTTCTCGAAGTCGTCTTCGATTTTGTATATAGGGTACCCATAACATAACGCCATAATATAAAGTATATATAATTGACAAGGGTCCTGCAGAAACTCTTACCGCAATATTATTATAACATTATTGTTTATCACACCAATTATTTATTCCTATAACTATTATAGTGCAGTGCTCCACTTTTCTCATTTTCAACCCCGACAATGTTCTATTATATGCAAATTCTATTACGTAGTAGAATAATATACCTAATATATTGTTACGATCAGCTCCCATCCCAGTTTACCGGCTCTTTAACTGCGTGCTCGAAGTAAATGATTAATTTCGCGATTCTGTATTGTTTTACTGTACTCGTTATCGTATTTATTGGTATTTATATAACACAACGATGTAATGGTTTCATCCATCTTTTTAGAATATCGTATCTAGACTCTTCTAATTAGCGGTGAGGAATGTATTTTGAAAATGCTTTTTACCAAAAGTCATGTAAAAACTACAACACGCTATTATTAATAGATTCATAATATACAAAATTGTAATTTTATTTAAACAAATTTAACGACGATGTACACATATTATACGGACTTAGGGAGGGAGCGAACATCCCTCCTCCCTTTCCCACTGCTCGTGTACGCCACTGTGTATATTAACAGCGCCATTTCAACCAGAGGATTTCACCTAATCGAGAAAAAAATACCATTTGATTTCGCGAAGCGTTCTTGAAGAGATGGCTTTTTGAAGTTCACAGTCCTTTTTTTTAATGATGGGGAAAAACTATAGACAACAGATTAGAATTTTGATTAAAAAAACTATATGCTATAGATTTCAAACGAATAAAAAGTAAAAAAAAAAACACTAACACAAAAATTACACGATCAATGATAAAATTTCGGTGGCTGTCGAAGTAAAATATTTTAATAAATTATCGGTAAGATTGGTAGTGTTGTACGTCAACGTGTATTTATGTCTAGCGGCTTTTTAACGATTTAAATTTCGTACAATTCGTACCCGAATATAAGGTCGATAGTGTCGAATACAATTGTTTTTTTTGTCAGATACTTGTTTTTCGGCGTTTTGTCGGTTTTACCGCGTGGCTTTGCGCCGCTAGTGGTTATTCGTCAAACGGCTTTTTGTCGTGCTTCGTGTAAGAACGCGGACGTAAGATTGTACTGTTTTGTCATCGGTTTCGCCCGCCGAATTATATAGGATTTGTCGTCGACTTCCACGAAAACGAGCCGACAATAACCATGCACAACGCAGTACGCATCGCAACCAGCAGTACGCAAACAGTAAAATGTGTAACGTCCGAAAGCGACGATTTCCCGTTATCGAAGGACAAGCATACGTACGTAATCGTCGATACGGTCGACCGGTTAATAGATTACGCCCGCGTCGACGGGTATGTTGTGTCGCCGTGAACAATAATTCCCCCGCCCCGCCCCGCGCAAAGGTTTACGCGATCGCAATCCGTCGCGATTCGCAGTAATATGAAATCTCTGACGGCGGGTCAACGGCCAATCAGATCACGTTTCCCCTTATCGCCGAAAACGTCGGCCCGCGGCGACGCCGCGCCACGAACGTCTCCGCGCTCCGCCACCCGGTTTTTCTTTGTCCGTTCGCATTCGTTCTTCGCGTCTAAACGTCGCGACGAGATTTCCGTCACCGGACGGTCTTTGGATACAGTTCTCACAGTAAAACACACCGGCGTGTTGCACGGATTCACGAATTTTCGCCGCCAAGAAAAGGTCCGTGTACCTGGGCACGATTCACGATGGCGCCTCGAACGGATCAATGAAGCGAGCCCCGATCCGGTCCGCTGGACGTCCTCGGCGGAACGATGGTAATACGTATGCGATTTAATAATTGGCCGATACCTGGTTAGTTTAGTTAATTAATTAGTTTTTTAATGTAATTTAATTAAGTTTTCCCCGTGCGAATATATATTTATATAAAATGTTTTTTTTTCATTTTCGTACGTTGAATCCTTCAGACATACTTATGGGAATCAACCAGCTAGATTTGTGTGTCCGTCTCATTACGCTAATCCCCGCGTTCCGCATTCTAATTGCGATGGGCCAACCCCCCCCCCGTATTTTGTTTTTTTGTCAAAAATAACACGTTCGTTCCGAAACTCCCTCCATAAACGTACGTTATTCGCGGACGAGCATTATGACCGCCGATTTTTCACCCGGGAACGAAATGGGATTTCATATAGGGCCGTGTACGCGTACACGTTACAACCGACTCGCGCATCATGACCTTTATGCGTAATCGGCGGAACGCCGGTGACGGTTTCACGTGATACCGTACGTTGCGCACCCCCGGTAATATCCGGGTGCGGATATGGAAAAAAAAAAAAAAAAAAAATGAATGTCATTTTACTGTTACGACTAGCGCCGCGCCGCCGGACCCGCGGAAAACCGACGGCGATCGGCGATTCGCGTCACGTCCGCGCGCGTTTAACAATATCGCGTACGGCGTGATGTGCAATTGGTATTTCCGTTTAATTGTCGCGCGATGCGCCGTCGACGGTCGGCCATTGTGCGCGATATCGTGCGCCGGGCGTGCGATGCCTAATGCGACCGTACGACGCGTACGCGTGCCCGTCGGTAACGCCGCCACTGTATCGTTGTATTTTACCGCGGCGTTGCGCTCGCGCGCGCGCGGTTTTCATGGTCCGCGTTGTGGTAGAAAGAAAAAAAAAACCGCCGCCGTCGGTGCAGATTACCGTATTCGACACGGCGCGTTATTATCGTTATCGTTCGTCGTCGAACCGGCGGACCTTGGACGGTCTCCGCGCGGCGCTGTGACGCCGACCGGCCGTCTCGCAGCTTCCTGGAACGCGAACGCGCGGCCGCGGCGGGATCGCGTCCGCGCCGATAACGTTGTTGTTGTTATTATTATTAGTAATTGATTAGTTTTTTTTTTTCCTTTCTTCTCGTTACTCTAGAGCGTTTTACGTTCTCGCGGTGTTTGCACGCCCCGCGGAATCGTCGCTGTCGTTCCGTTAGAGGCGTTTGTCTCGTGCGCCGCCCGGTTTTTCCGCTCGGGTGTTCGGCGGCCGTCGCGCGGACGGTCCGCAGTGTCGTCGTCCCCGCATACGGCGCCCGCAGGGTTTCGGGCGATCGTCCGAGTGTCCGTAAACTGCATGCGCACGCGGACAGCGCGTGGCGTTGTCATTACAAAATACGTTCAATTACGTCGAAAACAACTATCGGAATATAAAAACGCGCGTTCCGATTGATAATGTAATAACGAACAGAAATCGCACCGACGACTATTGGATAAACTTCTATAAATCTAAAGTGTATACATATATATATATATGTGTTTTTAAATGTTGTAACTCGCGTTTAATTAGTGATTGTTTTCCCTGCGTGTAAATATGTCGCATTGAAAGACACCGTTCACACGTATACAATTCTATTGTATTTCTATTTAAGTATTAATATCGATAATAAACCGAGATGATACTGCGTATAAAATAAATTTACTATGAGTTTTACTATTTTTACTAAAAATGCGTAAAAATCATTAATTGCAATTCTTAAAAAAAAAAAAAAAGTAGTAAAATACGCAAGAGAAAAAAAAATGTTTGGGATAAATGATTAGCTCGCTTAGCCGTACGTAGAAAACATAGATAAAAATATGCGATTTCTATAAGTTTTCTGACGCGAAATTCGAAAGGTATATATAATACAGAGTGATCGTGTATTACTGTGTTAAAACTGTTGATTTCCGTCAACCCTACAACGAGATATTTCACTTTTAAGTTTGGGTAGGGAGAGAGTAGTGAAGTATCATTTTTGTGGTGATATAGCACAGAGAGTTAAAATAGTATTTTACTACTCTCCCCCAAACTTAAAAGTGGAATATCTCGTCAACGGATTGAAAAAGCATTTGAAATTACGAATAAAAATGTTTCAAATAAAATAATATTGCAGAACGGCAAATCCGCGCGTCTTTTAATATATACAGCGTAAAACAATCTAAGCATTATTTTGGTAATCGAAAAAGCGTTTTCCGAGAAAAAAAACACGTCATTGTAAAACGATTTCCACTTCGCTCGTCGTACATCTAAATTCGGATAAATTTCGGGTAGATCAACTAGTTGTAGTCGATGTCAATCAATATATTATTTTACATCTTATTCATGACACTTTGTTGTTCATCGCATTTGTAACCCGATAAAATATAATATTACCACCTAATATAAAAATTGACTTTGTATATGACGTTAAGAATTTCAAAAAAAAAAAAAAAATGTTCGTTTTATTTTGTACAATTCGACGAGATTTGCCTGCTTTGTAGGTATTTTAGTTTTAACTCATCGAAATCCTCCTTCGGCTCATCGACGAAAACGTACGAGTGTGCGTATATGCGATTTATCTTGAAACGTACATGTATTTCCGTTGAAATCCAATTTCGTTTGGAGGCGAGTTGTTGTTGTTGTTGTTGTTTGTATAAAAGAAACCTAACCTAAAACTAATACCGGCGTTCTGTATAATATACGATGTCTTTTGCAAGAAACCGAGCTCGTCCGGACTTGGATTATATTGATATATCGTGTATAATTTTCGTGGGAAATCCGACCAATGATTTATCTAACGGTATTACACCACGGTAAACGATGTTCGGTATCATTTCAATTCCAACGCGATGAAAAACAAAACAAAAAGATCACCATTTTCAGTCAAAATCGAGTCGGTTTACTCATCTTCGTCGTCTTCGTCCTAACTATTTGGGATTGTTTTACCCCTAAAGAAAAATCACGTATCCGGAATATCGGAACATCTTTCAAAAATATGTATCTATCTATTACTATATTGTAAATTATACGCTGCAAATGAATTAACAATCTTCCGACAAAAATCCCACTCCCAAATAAAGTTTGCAAAGGGACGAAATTTCGTATATGCATTGCGTCGACAAGGATGCGCCTTTTAGGGGTTTAGACTTTTGATCTTCGCCCTTACCATTTTCTTATTCAAATTTTACTTTTTTGGAAGCCATACATGGGTACATACGTTTTATACGAGATTTATACGAATATATATATACGAACTATTTACTAGGTAATAATGAATTTTCTACAGATGTCTTTATAAGTTTACGATAATTTTAATTTTTTTCATTATCTTTACTAATCTCAATATCAGTTAATTCACTAACTTTCGATCAAACATATTTTTTTTTTTTTATAATTGTTATAAACTTAAACAAATAGTCGAAACTTAACGAATCATCAAAAATAAGTGAATAATATTGTAATGCCAAAATTTGATTTCCAAATATATTTATAAATTGATTATCTCGGATTTTGTAAAAAAAAATTAAAATTAAAATTTAGAGGAATTATAGCTAACGAAAGTATAAATCATTATTTACTTTTTTAATATTTAACTGCAGAGCAAAAGTTAATTCAAGTATCAAATATTCGTGTTACACTCAATACACGAATCGCTAAATGGACACAAGTTCAAATTTGAAGATTTAAAAAAAAAAAAAATAAAAAAAATATCTATACAAAAAATAAGTCATGACTTATTATGTTACATAATGTTAGATAATAGATGTTACGTTTTTGTCGTTTCATTTGTCGTTTTATGAAATATTATATAATGATGTTTTTTGTGTTTTCAGAAAAATTGTAAAATTCTTACCTTTTTTTCTTTTCTGCATTTTGCAATTCATATATTATTGTGTGCTACTGATAGATTATAGATTATGTACTATAGTACATAGTAGTAACTAATAGTAGTAGTAATAGTAGTAGTAGTAGTTGTATAGTTTATATAGTAGCTGTTATAGTAGCACAAAAGTTGAATACGGGAGACTAGTTTTTTAAAAAATTTTTATTACACTCTTGCTGCCTAGTGCCGCGCATAGATCGTATAGTAATAATCTTCTAGTCGTATCGTTTTTTTTTATTTTTTTTTTTTTTTGATATATTACAGGTACAGGCACACGCGCGCAAAGTATAATAATAATATTATATATGGTATTAATATACGCGAGTAAATTGTATGTATAATATATATATATATTATTATTTAGTGTGGTGTGTGTGTGTGTATAGATTTTATACTACTGTCTCTTATTAATGGAACTCGCCCACGCCCGGCAAACACACGACGACGACGACGATGACCGAGGTAGTGTATGCATAGACACATAAACACATATACACACGTTATGATTTTCCCTCTCCCCCCCATTTCCATCTTCTGCGGAACGGGTATTTTAATAATATTAAACGTTTTTATTAGTATATATTTTTTTTTTTACCGAAAACGATTTGCCCTCACAGTTAATTGTTGTGTTTTTAGATTTTTTTTTTTTTAGTTTTTATTATTATTATTAATTCGTGACGGCTATTATCCGATCATTATAATTGCTTCTAGTGTTTGGAAAACGGCGGTAGTAAATATTATATATAGGTACGTTCCTACAAGCGTCGTGTATACGCCTACTAATAATAATACCACCAGTAGTACAGGTAGCACGCGTGCACATACAAGGACGAGTGTAAAAACCGCCACCCCAGCATTCGTGGACGAGGGACGCGTGCCCGAGTTGTTGCTTTTTTATCTTTATAGGATATAGGTAGGGTCGGACAGTATTTTCGATACGAGAATCTTGAACACGTATCTTAGATTATACAATCGTATCTTGTGTTCTTGGAATAAAGTATCGAGTATCGAGTATTGCTAAATACTGTCATCGGTGTGTATAGTGTGAAGTATCTACAAAACACGAATGCCACATTAATGTTGGTTTTTATTTTATGTCTTTTTTTGGATTTCATCAATTATTATGAAAACCACTTGGAAAATCTAAAAAT